ATTTTTTGATTAACCTAAAAAAACTTTATGTATACCCATGTTGCTCAAATCCCCTCCGGATTGCTAATCAATAAGGTGCCAAAACCACGGCAGAACCCAGACAAAGCGAGCACAATGATGTTTGCTAGGAAAAGTCTCACCATTTCATGCCATGCTTTGCTTTTTCTCGACAGCTTGTGATTTATAAAAATGCTTTGTTTCTTAGCAGTGATTCCTGATCTTCTTTGATCTGTGTGTGCTGAAATATTAGCATCCAGGCAGCAATTCTTGTATGACAAGTACTGCTTTGGACACTATGATCATTGTAAGAAGCAGAGAGAGGGTCTCTTTTGTGCCACTTTGGTCCAGTATGCAGCAGATTATCCTCTTGCTGATGCAGGCTGGCAGCTCTAACAGAAGTGAATTCTGAGATGGGATTTGTAAAACGAGTGCATAAATACTTTGGAGCCACAGCAAAATGGGCAACAGAGCTGCTTATTCTGTCCTTTGCCAAATGGAAGATGTGCCTCTACTTTTCTTCTGACTCCATGCAAACTGTGCTTGGGTATTACCCTTTTTGTACCCCTCAAGAAGAAAAATTCACATGTGAATCAGTTTAGAGAAAGGGCATCACAGTGACGACAGCTGAGTTCATAACAGCCTCATAAAGTGGAATGAATGCACCTTCCCCTGGACTGGCTAGCTCTGTGTCTCCCCACCTTGGCACCTGCCACACGGAGAGCCTGCAGCTGAGCTGAGGAGTATGAAGCAGAAAGGGAATACGAGGCATAAAAGATTGCCCTGGGCTTTGCATCGGGAGAGATACGTTAAGATTATGTCAGCACTGAATGTCCTGTCTTTATTTATCTTACCATAAAAGCATGCCTGAAATGCTGATATGGATGGCTTGTAAAGTGCTGAGCTTGTGATTTTAGGGAGACAGAAAGAGAGAAAGTTACAACACCCCCTGTGCTTTGTGACTTGCTATCCTTCTGCACAGTTGCCAGGATGCCTCGATCCATGGGAGGTATTGGAATTCGGTAAAGGCCATAAAGGAAAATGTAACTCTCTTGTTCCCCAGTTGCCTTCTCCATCCTCTGCTTGTATCAACAGATGTTTGCCACACATCTCTGTTTTCTCTGCAAAGAAGACACCAGTCAGCAAGTGAATGTGGAGGCAATGGTCACTAAGGCTGGAAAAGCACCCTCGGCAGCTGCCTCACAGTGCCACATTACACCTGCTCTCGGTTCCGGCTGGCTTTGCCCAGTATGCAGCAGAGCCCCAGGGACATGGCTGCTGAGCACAAATACAGCCCAAGTGCTTCTACAAAAGCCTTTCTGGATATCAAAACACTGAAATCTACCATTCTTATCTCAGGTCTTGGTGAAGGTGATTATAGTTACTCAGGGCTGCAGTCAGATCTGTTTATTTTAGCAAGTAGCTCCCTCCACCTGTGATGCTTTTCAGGCTCAGCCCCCACATCCAGCCCAGCGATGCCTGCAAACACCTCTGCAAGCCCCTCGGGAGCTGAAGAAGGTGGGGAACACCAAGCCAAGCTCCCCATACCCTCATGCAACAATGGAAACTTGCTGGGACCACAAAGCAGAACAGGTCCCTGGGCCAAGAACAAGATCCTTGGCTAAGGGAGACCATAGACTCTCTCTTCCACTTGGACATGGACATCTCCTTCAGGCAGCTTTACCCAACACTTGCCTTGAGCCACTCAGTCCTCCCTCTAGTCTGGCAATAGCCAGGCTAACAAACAACCTTCAAACCGGCTCTGCCAAGAAGAGTGCAGGTGCAGGCTGGGAGTGCTCAGCTTTCGCCCAGCAGAGGCCAGCACGCAAGCAGTGTTTCGGCAGGCTGTGCTCACAGAAGAGCTGTCTCCCTTCCTGACTGGCCTTCCCCGGCTGGGAAAGAGTCTCTCAGCCTCCTGTGACCCCTCATCTATGTACTGCTTGGAGAGAGGTTTTCAGTGAGGGACGGGTAGCGCAGTAGACAGGTGCTGACATCCTGCTGGGTTGGGACAGGCTGCCACAGGACCAGCCATCACCCAGTTTATCCAGTTGTGTTCCCAGAAGTATCCCCTTCCCTTGGAATAGCCAGCACGACAGTGGTCCTGGAAGCTGGGCATGGCCAGATAACACAGCACTTGAGAAATGCCAGACGCCGTGGAAATGAATGTCGAAAGAAATTGCAATGCTGGTAGGAGCAGACAATTGAAAGCAATGGGGGATAATTTCCCTGGCCACCTCCCTGCCCTTTGCTCCTCTTTTAGGCTCATTTACAGTTCATTTGAGGGCAGCGAGGGCCACACCGAAGAACTTGGCTACTTCGAAATCTAAAAGAAGTTGCTTGAAGAGTGGAGAGTAGAGGCCCGGAGTCCAGGAAAAAGGAGCAAGAGACAGCGTCGGTACAGAATTGAAAGAATCTCCTCACACAGCCTAAATAAGCAGCTTGTGCAGCTCTGCAAGCAGCCTCAGGAAAAGATCTTTTCTCAGCCACTGGTTGAAAGGGCTAATGGCTCTGAAAGGACATGTTGTCCCATGCTGCTTGGGTGATAAGGACATTCCCCCACGAGAATCATTCTTCATAACAAAGAGAGACTGCCTCCGACACCTCACAATCACTATAAGCAAACAGAAGTCAAAACAGGCTTGAACCGTGCAGATCATCTTCTGTGATCAGGTTTTTGAGGGCAAGCCTGGGGCAAAGACAAGTCAGATTGGAAGATATGTCTCCTAGCACCAGCGGAACACCCAGTGTTTGGCCAAAACGGCTGAGCATAGTGCTGCTGCTAGGAGGCCTTCCAGCTCACAGCCAGCCATGCAGAGGAGAGACAGCTTAACTGATGATGCCAAGAACATTGTTTAAGTTTTGGAGAGGATGTTGTTGCAAACCTGTCTTCCAGTCTCACCACTTACCGCTTATTTTCGTTCTGAGTCGCAGTAATAAGTCTGAGACGTTACCAGTGAGTAGTCTAGCAATTCTGTGGGCATTATGTGAGCCCCACCCAGTATGAAGGATCTCAGACCTCGACAGCTCTGCAGCAAAAATATTGGCTTCATGTCTGCGTGGGAATAGTTGACATATACATCAGTGTAGGACCTTCTCCACCTGCAGTTAAAACCAAGCTTAGCATTTTATAGGCATGAGAAAACACAAAGGGCACAGCAAGGATGGAGATCTCTTGTTCTAGGTGACACTGTGTTGTCAGTGCAAGCTGTGCTAGGGCTCTGTTGCATCCTTCAGTGAGGACCGTGGGCCTGCAGTTCCCTGCACAGCAAACCCCAAGCAAGTTAGCCAAAGCTTTTTTCTGTGACTGTAACCCAGAAAATATGGAACCATCAGAGCCCTGAGGAACACCAAGTGAAGAATCCAAGAGAAAATCTACCAGAAGCTGAAGGAGCAGAAGCAGAGCCTGTAAAGACAAAGTCCTCTAGAGCTGGAGGACAGTTGTCTCTCTCAGGCTTGAAAGGACAAATCCCAGAGAAAAGCACTTTGGGAAGGGCCTGTGTAGCCTGGGTGACTCAAAGCATGGCCTGTGCAAGGATCGGCAGCTCTTTTTGTTGAATCAGTGGATGGAATGAAGCCTATTGGTGTGAGATCTAGCACAGAGGGCTGGTGTAAGACACAATGAAATTGTTCTTGTAGATGTATTCTGCATGTCCTGTACACAGAAACCCAGCTGCCTGCCTGGAATAACCACCATCCTTCCCTGTGTGTGCACATCCGCCTTGGGGCAAGGGGCAGACCTGCACAGACAGGGAGGGCCAGTGCAATTGCCCATTGCCTCAGCACTGCTTTTGTAGGGTGGTGATGCCCACGCCCATGCCCACATGCTGACACTAAGTGTCTCTGACTACAGTGCTTCCCATGTTGGCCCAGAAACTGGAGGCAGAAGCACCTGAATAGATCATGGAATGAGAAATCACAGCGCTACCTGTGCGTCTCCTGAGGGCAGCTTGCTGAGGCATGGCAGTATTTGGTTATCCTCCTGCTAGTGCAGACCAGAGAGAAAATGTGTGCAGCACAGCACATTACAGACTTATCCAACTTCTTTTGTGGGCTACGATGATGAGCCAAACCCCATGAAATATGCTGCTTCCCTGTGCCTGAAAGAAGGATATCTATGAATTGAATCTATTTCTCTCATTTAAAAGCCTGTGTCAACAGCACTGCTTGTGCTGAAAAAATTGCAGCTGATGTTCCTTTAACATGGCAGCAGTCCTGAGCCACCATTAGCAACAGGACCTGCACCGGCAGGTGGGCTTCAGCTTTGTGTATAGAGTGGGGGTGGTAGGTGACTGCTGGCTGGTGGGGTATAAGGTGTAGAGACCATCTGTATGGACCAGTTTGTGTTTCCAGTAGAACACACCCAGCAGTACCAACCTAATCTTCTCTGACCTTTCAGGTTTCATCTGTTTCAATGCATGAGGTAGTACAGTAGTCTTTTGTAGAGCTGTGACTGGTGGGCAAGGGGAAACAGCATAGGCTACAGCTACATACCTTAGCAGGGTGCCTTGAAGCAAGAGTCCTGCTAGGTCCTCCTTCTCCTGGGCACTCCAGCACAGCATCACCACTTCCCTCCATGCCTGAAGGCTCCACCAGCCCACCAAGAGCTGCATGTGAGCTACCATGATATGGCAGCGCACCTCCACACATGCAAGGGCAACATGTGGAGGTATAGCCATCAGTAGCAGGGAGCCAAGAGGGTCAGCCAAGAAGAGATCTGTGATGTTATATGGCACATCAGATTCATTAGCCAAGTCCAGCCCTGCAGCAAGGAGGGACCCATCCTCCCCAGGGACCCTATCACTTCACAAACCATTGCTCCTCAGCCTGCCTAGCCTATGCACATGGGCCCCCATTATAAATGTGAGGCTGCAGTTGCTGGCCCTGGATTAGACCTCTGCATATGCAGGGCTGTTTCTTGGACTCTTAGCTCTCCCTGTCCTGTCACCTGTGTCTTCACTGTATCATGCCAGGATTCACTCAGACCTTATTTTGGAAACAAAGAGTTAAGAATTTTCAATCTTTATTTTACAAAAATAAACCAGTTTTTCCCTGATACTCTGTGGCCCCCAACCTCCTCCACCCCTGCTCCCATTCCTCTTCCTGTAGCTCCGGCTGTTGCATGTCACATCCAGCCACTCTTATGGAGGCTGTCGGTGCTGCACGCTCTTGTGAGTGTGCCCAAACAAGCACCACAGAAGGGGGTTGGTGCCCTTTTGTGACTGCCTCCTCTTCTCAGGATCCAAGCTGGAAACTGTCCCAAGATGCTTTGTGGTGGCTCTGCCATTTCTGCACAGGAAGTAAGTCTTAGGCAAGTCACTCAGAGTACACACTTTAAGAAGGAATGTCCACTTGTCCAATTCCTTCCCTTGGATGGAAAAACGAGCCCCATGAAGTTACTTCTTGCCATCAGTGGAGCTGGCAGGCTGTCATCCTACTTCCAGCTCAGTGCTGGAAGCGTGGGGAGCTAATGTGGGGCTGGTGAAAGGAGTGTGTGGCGTAAAGCACTTCTGGAGGCGGTGGAGGGGATGTCAGGATGGAGCAGAGTGGTTCATGGGAGCTCAGCATCGAGGTGAAGTGTTTCATCTCCTCTGTCAGCTGCTTGATCTCCCGCCGCAGGGCAGCGTTCTGCCTCTCCAAGTCTTCGCTCTCCTGAGGACACAAAACCACAGGGGCTTCCTCAGTGTGGGAGCCGATGAGCTAGGGACAGGGGGGTTGTGGTCCTGCGCCTCTCTGCCCCACAGAATTTCCAGAATGACATATTTCTGGTAAATTCGTCACAGAGCCCTGACTGGGCAAACCCTCCTCCCCCAGCTGGCCAGGCCGGGTGCGAGTGCGATGCTGGCGGCCCCAGACACGCTCCCCAGTGCCGACTTACGAGAAGTGACTGTGGCTTGCTCCCGCCCAGGCTTTCTCGCTCCCTCTCATGCACACGCACATCTCCGGGTGCTTCCCGGGCAGCCCAGCCCCCGGGGGAGAGCGAGCTGAATAACCGCCGTCTTTAACCAGAAAACCACCTGTCACAGGAAACCTGTCATTGCCCTGGAAAGAAGAGACTCACTGCTTCCTGCTAGCAGCCGGGGAAAGCAGTGGCACGGTGGGGAGGAGGGGAAGACACTTGAGTCAGAAGAAAAGAGAAACTGAGGCCTCAGAAGAACTGAATCAATACTGTTATTAATGAGAATAACAACAAAGGGGTTAATAAAGATGCAAACCCTCGTCTCAACGATACTGAGAGCATCGAAGCCTTTGCTACCTCACCTTGTGAAGTTCAGCCAGCTCCAGGTTGGAGCATCGCAGGCACCAACTGACCACGGAGCCAGCAGCCTGGGCAGGACCAGAGGAGGGAGGGAGGATGCAGCAGCAGGCTTTGCAATCTCAGCCAAGACAGCTAAAGCAGGACTCAGCACTTTGAGGCCCTGGAGAGCTGCACCACCACCTTGGCAAAGTGAACATGTCATCCCTCTGCTCACCCCTCTGCTGCCATGCTGACTTCTGATGGCACCTGCTCTCTGAGCACAGGTGAAACACACCTACCAGTTACAGCTGCTGTCACTGCAGGAGTCACACAGCATCTCAAGGACATGACCAAATGCTTTGGAAATCATGACTGCTGTGGAACTCAGGAACTGATGGGAATCACCCAGAAGCTGGGAGCTCCAGCCTCCCCATGACTCATTCCTCTCAAAACACAAACTACAAAACCCTGGGGCAGATGGAGCTGCTGGCTCCTTTCATACCACCATGGCTTAAGCTGAGCCATGCTCTTCTGGGCAGAACCACTTCAAGGAACCAAAGTCCCTGATTCAGAATCGACCAAAGGCAAAGAGCACTCAGGGAATAAACCCAGGAGCAGCAGGCATTCACTATCCACCAGGAAATGGAAAAAAAACTAGCAGAAATTCACCATCCATCCTCTTCTTGCTTCTCTGCATTTTTATATCTGTCTGTCAGGATCCAGGACTTAGCTCTGCTGCTCCCATCCCCATGGGAAGGCAAGGACTGTGTGCTATCAATGCCAGCTAAGCAGTAGTAATCTCATATGATTTGCTATCTGCTCTAAGAAAAGGAGTCCAATTCTCGGTGCACAGCTAGGTGGGATTTTCCTGGGGAAGGAACAGAGCCCATATCTACCTCTAGGATTACCTTGGAGAGAGCACTGACCCCAAGGAAAGGGTATTTCTTTACCCCTCTCAGGCACAGTCACCCAGAGCCACTGCTGCTGGCAGATGTAATGCAACCAGCCTAGAGCCATGTCAGCTCTAGAACAATCATCACTTACTGAGAAAAGAGTGAAATCTCTGCCTTAAACCCAACTCCAGCCATGTGATGAGGCCACTATGTCAGGAGGAAGGTTCAGGACTGAATTCTCAAGAATTATTCCCAAAAATTGGGATATGAGGGAACATGAAGATCGCTAAGTCAAAGGATGGTTTTTTGAACATGAGCTCAACTACCACTTTTCAAATGACAGCCAAGCCAGTGCAGGGATAAAGATGGTCTCTGTCCACTGCAGATTGTGTGTTCTTCATCCTGCCTGCCAGTAGCCCAAAACATATGGGACTGCACTTATCACCGTGCAAAATTCAAAGGATCTCAGCCCCTGTGCTCTGACACTGACCATATACTCCTGCCCAAACACACACAGCCAGAAGTGGCCATCCCTTCTGAAAAGCAGACATCTAATTCTTCACACCAAGAAGAGCTGCAAGGGTGCCCACAGTGCCACAGAAAAGCATCCTTGTATGCTGTTACATCTCTGCATAAATGATGGCATGAATCACAAACCCAGGGAAATTCAGCCCGGGTGCGACTGTGCTTTCAAAGAGCTTCTGAGTGACTCAGTCAGAAGAGACTGGAAAAGGAAATCAGTAATGAAAGACTGAGAGATAAAGATGGATTCAAAACTAGGTGCAAAACTAAATGCTTCAGTGGCAGTCGTCCTGGGCTGTGTGCTCTTGCTGTGAATGCTAACTCCTACATCCTGCCCTGGCCTCAGTTCTCCTGTCCTGCTTACACTGAACATCTCCACACCAAGTCCCAGGGGAAAAGCACATTGTGTCCTATGTGAGCCCTCAGTACTCAGGACAAAGAAGAGTGGGAGTGCTCACCAAGTGCAGTGTGTCTGCTTTCTGAGTCTGCCTCAGGCGGCTCTTCTGGGCAGCGATACGATTCTTCTCCCTCCTTTGGACTTTTCTCATGTCATCAGAAGAGTCCTAGGAAAACAAGCCATAGAAATAACTGGGACATTCCCTCCCTCGCCCTTCTCCTGCAGGGCAGTAAGTGGGAAGGGGACACAGCAGATAACATGATTGAAGCACAGGACATGGGATACACACCCTCCATACCAGGATAAAGCCATAGCCCAGGGACGTGACGGTTTTGGCACCCTCGTTGTCCAGGAGGGGCACATCTGATACCCTTAGGCATCCCAGTACTGCTGGGAAATGACTACTCTCCCTTCACCAACACCCAGGCCTGGGATATGGATTGATGGACCAGAGTAAGGACCTCCTTCTGGAAGAGAGACAATTTGAATTCTCGTACAGAAAACCTTTCCCTTCCCTGTCTCTCTGCAGGGTAATGGCAATGTGGACATTTCAGATCCTCGGATAAACCATTTTTTCCAAAGATACAGTCTGTGTTTTCCTCCTTTCACCCCTGTAGGTCCCTCGTCTCTCCATCACCCTTCTCCCTCAGGCTTTATTTCTTGTGGACCCTCCCAATGCAATGTGGCCCTTGCTTTGTTTGACTAGACAGACTCAGAGCTTTTGTTTTTAACTCAGATCTCATTTGCTTCAGCTCTCTGATCTCTGTGCTTGCTCTTTCCTGGATTCCCTTGGTAGCAATGCCTGCAATGCTGACTGCAACACTTCCTTTGGAAGAGGAGAACAGGTCTCCAGGCTCCAGGTCATGAGCTTCACAGACCAGCCATTCTCTGCTGAGATCTGGTTCTTCTGCTGCCTTCTGACAGTTGAAACTGTCAAACAGTCTCTTTCATCTTCTATTTTCATATTGCACTGCCCCTTTTGTGGACTCTTTAACATTCACACCACCACTTCTCCACAAGACTACAAAAGTCAGCCACAAAAGTTATCTTCCCAGCCCATCAATCTGTCCACATCCTCTCCCCCCTCCCCCCACCCAAGATTTTTTTCTTTGAACCTAACCGTTTTGTCCTTGCTTTCAAGACCCTGAAAATGTCTCAGATACAGCATCTTGCAGGTTCTTCATGAAGTCCAGTCCCTATCCTTTGGCAAACTCTGTGCTTTATCCCTTTCTCTACAAGGATGCCTCCTCATCCTTGGTTGCAAACCAAAAATCATCTGCCCTGATCATCTCCAAGATTTCTGAGCAAAGTCTCAGGTACTTGCCATTGTTGCCAGCCTTAGAGAAATGGCAAATGACAGATATAATAAAGCTTAGCCGGAAAAGGCAGTGGGAACATCCTGGATTTGTGTCAGTATCTGCCAGCAAAAGACACCATGTACAAAGTACACCATGCAACAAACCAAAATCCCTCTGTCAAGCATTACTGAGATGAAAAATCTCTGAGGCTGAACAGAAGAGAAAGCAGATCCAAAGTGTCAGGGCCCTGAGCTGCCCCAGTTCATGGACAGGAGGTGCCTGCACAGGCTCCTTGCCAGAGCACCAACTCTCATGATGAAGCTTCCTGCCTGCCTGGCATGTGTTGCAGGATCCACCATGCCTGGGGGCCTGGCCCCCCAGTTTCCCCAGCACAGCCACAGGTAACCAGGTCTTCTCTCTCCTCCTTTACCCACCTCAGTGGCTAGGGCTCCTGCCAGGGCCCTCAGCTGAGCCCTGGATCCCTCTCCCCACAGCCGTTCTTAGAAAGCTCTGCCATATTGTGCTGTGAAAACAGCAACGGTGGGTGCCACCCTACCTCCCATCCATCCATGGCCCACCCCAAAGGACTCTTCATCTGGGGAGACCTGGGGAAGGTCCCTGCTTTACCTGCTTGCTGGGAGGGGGAGACTGGCTGAAGCTGCTGGAATCACTGCTGTCGGAGCTGTGGGGCATGGCTCCTGGCTCTGGCTCCCAGGGTCTCTTCAGCTTCCTTTGTCCTCTTGGTGTGCCTGCCTTCTGTCTTGCTTCTCTGCCTCTCCCCACCCTCCTCTGTCACCCCTGAGATAGCCCTTGGCTTCCCTGCTCTCACCCGTCCCAGAAGCACACTGTCCTCCTGCCCAACACTCCAACACTTTCGCTGCCTCTCCTCTCGGAGGCTCTGCACCTTCCCTTTAGGTCTCAGCCTCCTGTGGTTTCTCAGAACCTCGGGGATGTAAGCTGAAAGTCACGTGGCCGGAAACTTTAAGGCAAAGAAGAAAAGTTACAGAAGAAAAAAAAATTAATAAAAAAGAAGAAGAAAAAAAAGCACATCTGGGAAAAATGAGCTTCAAAATAGCCTGAAAAACCCCCGAAAAACACCTTCAGGCAGTTGAAAAACAACAAGATGGGTTTTCTCTGAGACAAACAGCAGAGATGGAAAGGAAGAAAAGCCCCAGCTCTGGCTGTGAAACTTGGACCCTCAAAGGAGGGCAGTGCGGAGGAGGTGCTGCTGGGAGCCCCAGAAATTCCAGAGGCACTGCGTGCCATGACAGCCCCATGCAGGCAGGGGGTCAGTCCAGGCCCAGGCAGCCTCGGTCACCCCAAGCCAGCTGGGGAAATTCCCAGGCAGCCACACATCTCCCCACAACCCACCGCCTCCTGCCATCCCCGACACCATTGACGGGTGGAGGAGGGGACGGGTACCCTCAGCAGGTGCCACGTAAATGCTGTTTGTGCAGATGGCTCGATGAAGCACCAGTCCTATCTAAGAAGGCAGCTCAGGATCATAGAATATTTGGACTGGATTTGGTAGGACTAGTATTTTCTATAAAGCAAAGCTATTTAGCACTTTAGAACATTCATCAGAATGTCACCACTGGCCCATAAGGGGAATATTAACCCCGGCAGACAAATTAAAGTGCCGTAAATGTAAGGATCTATGGATCAGCCCATGCAGACAGCAGCAAGGAGAAGTTGCTTTGCATCCCCTTGTTTGTCCCCTGGGCTGTGCTCTGTGGGACTACTTCCATCCTTAGCATGAACCTCGGAAGACTGAAGACATGCAAGCAGCCCTTGAGACAGCAGTGCTTCAGTGCTAGTGGCTCTGGAGGTGACAATGCAGGAGAAGGGAGTGCCAAAGCAGGGACCATTTATTTTCTCATCTGCTCATGTTATCAGATCCAGGAGGATGAACCAGGACCACACACCAACACAGGCTCTTTACTCTCAGACAGGAGCACATATCTTTGGAGTGACTATGTTCTCGCATGCGCTGTAAGGAGCAGATATAGAAACAGGCATGAACCCATCCACAGTAACCCTCTCCTGTGGAAAGCAGCAATTCACAGTTCCTCCTTACTGGTTTTTGTTGCATATTGGTATTCTGTTTGAGTTTCTCCTGCCTAAAGAAGGAGCAGCTAGCAAGTCTCAGCAGCAGGGCATCAGCAAGGGCACTTGAGATGCAGTGGTCACTACAGCAAGAGTATTGGCAGCTTTGGGTTTGCAGCCATATTGCAGCACAGAAAGTGCACATGCTTGGAACGCAGTGCGGACTTGCATGGGCATTGCTGGCATTTCTTCCCATCCTTGCCACTACTCATAGAGCCAACACATGGGCGAATGTGGGGCTCAAAAAGGACCACGTGGGGCTGGCTGCAGGCTGAGTGGCTTGGTGAAATTGTCTGGCTTAGCTCCAGTAGCAGAACTGCTCCATTTTGACCCATTTCGACCCATTTCCCTCTTTAGAAACATCCTGTGGCACTGGTGCCCTACCCTTGGCTCTACTATCTGAACATTTCACAGCCTTGGGTGTATTTTTTCTCCTGGTGTGCTAGGAAAAATGTTAGGATCCACCACACTTTCTAACATGGCTGCAAGGGTTTGCTTGCTTGGCATGAACCACCCTGAGGGACCTGATCTCCTGGCAGTACAGCCCCCCTGTAGCAGGCAGGGCTCCTCTGGTGTGGCTGGCTCCAGGCATGGAGTAGCTAAAGGCATTGGTGAGATGAGGGGCATTAAGTTCAAGTTTCCCAAGGCACCAGATAGCAGCACAACTGTTGAAGGATCCATTCACTTGCTGCATTGGTACACTTCATCTGAACTCTGCAACCTGAGTGGCACTTCCTTTCCAGGAAGCACAGTGCTGGATTCCCACTCTCCTGAGGAAACCACACTCCTGTGCTGGTGAGTGGGTCTCAGAGACTGCCTGGTCCATCCTGCTCTGCATGCTGCTGTTACTCAGGGCAGGATGGAGGGAGCTTCTTCCTCAGAGAAAAATATCCTTGTTCCATTATTAGGCAAATAAACTGAATTCCTTCCTTTTGTATCTTGCAAGGCCAGTATCTGAAGGGAGGCAATCAGGAAGGTGGCAGGTGTGTTGGCAGGAGGTGGTGCAGGGAAGCTGGGTGTCCTGGCAGGAGCTGGACAGTCTGTGCAAAAGTGTCCAGAATGTGTCTATGGCAAAGGCTATTCTTTGATCCACAGGAGGAAAGTTTTGAGCTGCCCAGAGCTGGGCTTTTATTAACAACTGATGGAGACACCTCAGGAGAGAGCGACAGCAGGAGAGAGGGCTTGGACACTTGGTCTTGCTGAGTGGGACTAAGAGAACATCCCGTTTTCTGCCTTGCCCTCAAGCTGGCTACACTCCTTGCCCTCAAGCTGGCTACAGTGCTAATGAATTCCTGTCACTTATGAGTGAATAAGTGTGCTGTGAGACAGTATCTCCTGGTGGGAAGATGGCAGAGCCTTCACAATGCTCCTCTGGGCTGGGCAGGACCCATGTTGTCTCCCCACAGGCAGTGCCCCGTGCCATTCCTCTGGTCAGAGACGCAATCCCCCAACCCAGAGCAGCAGAAACGACTAGTATGGCTCCACCAGCACCTGCTCACAGCTCTGTGGGAGCTGCCCTGGGCACCTGCTGCAGGCTGGGGAGCTGGTTTCCTGCTGCCCCTCCCCAGGCTCTCCCCTGCTATGAGGGGGAGCCTCAGGAGGCACTCTCCTAATCTTGGTGCTTGACATAGGTGACTAAATTTACAGTGACTAACATCCCCTGAGTTTCTCTCTGGGATCATTTAGGTTTCTTGATCTTGATCACAGTAGCAGTGAAATCACTGTCAGTGGCACTGGATGAGCTTGCAAGTGTTAGGTTACTGCTGGACCAGCAGCTTGATGGAGAAGGGCTAGTTCCAGAGAGTTTTAAGGAAGTATGGGGCCATCCAGTCCTGCATTTATCCCTTCTGAATAACAGCACGCTTAAGGGAGTCCTGTTCTTCCGGGACAGAGTGGCTGCAGGGACTTTGGAGGTTGGGCTTAATGTGATCTCAACTGCTGAAGAAATGCTTTGAAAGCAGCAAGATGCAGTTCAGCAAGAACAAATGCAAATATAAAGCAAAGCAAGATGTAGATAGAAGATCTGGGGAATAACCAACCAGGGCAGCAGAATAGCAGGGAAAAATCCAGGGGCTGCAGAGCATTGAAAGCCAAAGCTTTGCCAGCAGCACAGAGGTGTCGCAAAGGAGCTGGGTACAGGTCTAGGGTGCTGGGACAAGGCAGAGGAGATCACTGTTCTGTACTGCCTGTGCAGGGCCAGTGCCCATTAAGAGTCCCAAGTCCAGAAGTGGAATAGTCCAGAAGAGAACAATACAAAGGATAAATACACAGAAAGATTGCGCTAAGAGAAAGGAGTGAAGAAGTTGGGTCCATTTAGCCTAGAAAAGAGAAGTCTTGGGGGTGGGAAGTGGGTGGGGAGGAAGGAGCAGTCTTTCATATGTTGTAATGGAAAGGGTGGTCAATTGGTTTCTGTGCAGCCAGAGCAGAGTAAGAAGCAACAGGCTCCAACTGCAGCAGGAAAGGTGCAGATCTGAGGTTCAAAGCAAGATGAGCATAGGAAGACCTTGGGATGGGCAGTTCAGGAAAGTTATTCAAGCCTTCCATATGAAGTGGCTGGGAAAAAACCTCTATTGGAAAGGGTAGAGGTTGAATCCTGCCTCTGTAGGATGTTATGTTTCCAGGGTTTAAATAAGGAAAAAAATGAAATTAAAAAAAAAAAAAATGGGCTCCTCAGAGCCCAGAGAGCACATGGGCCATTTCTCAGCCTTAGCTGCAGCCAGCACCTTTCCCTCCAAAGTCCATGTCCCCCTGTGTAACTAGCTTCCTCAGCACGGGTGGGTGCAGGAGTTTCCTTTCAAGCCCTCTCACTTGCTACAGGCTTATGACAGTAACATTCAAAACTGCATCTCACCCCATCCATCTCACTCATATTGTTTGCACAATCATTCAGTGCATAGTGCTATTTAAAAATCAAGGCTAGAGCAGCTACCAACTTCAGCCTCCTGTAAACCACTGAGGTTGTTTCTGCTTCGCATGTAGCATTTTATGCAAATAATTTCTTACAATATTTGGACAATTGCAGCAATTTCCTTATCATTCCCCACATGAGTTTGAAGACCTTTGTGTAGAAATCAGTGCTGATAAGAGATGTCAAGCGAATGTCTCTGTTGAACAAAGTCCCTGCTCTCTACCAGATACTTCTGCCATGTCCTGCTCTGTCAGCATGTATTGGTCCTGTCTGTGATGTGGGCAGCTTCCCCAGTCTCAGTCACCAGAGCTATTTCATCCTGGCTGAGTTGAATGAGTGTGAGAGGGAGGTCGTGTCAGGAGAGCTCAAGCATAGTCCCAGCAAATTCATCCCACCCAACAGAGAGCAAACACCCATCACACCAACACTTTTAGTCCTTACTGGATGCAACCTGCCAATGTACAGGAAACAGGCACTTTACAATCTGAATGTCTGATAAATTACAAGTACTGTAAATTAAGCACTCAAAAGTATGGAAATCCCAGAATTAACTCCCTTAAACACACTGTAATTACACCCTCCTGCCAAGCAACATGCTGTGCTCTGTAACTTCATGACCCAATAAGGTTTCTTCCCTGGGAAGACTGTGTTACCTTCATTGCTGTCCTGCAGTCAGAGACTGCTCCAACATCCTGCTTTTCCATTTCTTCATGAATTCTTTCTAGTGCTCATTGCTTCAGTGCTGAGTGAGTTCTTCAGGGTTATTAATTAATCTATCTTCTCAGCCACCTTTTCAGGTTCAGGGTTGGGGGTGGAGTTATCCCTATTTAACAGGTGCAAAAGAAGAGACAAAGAGAGATTCAGGTTGTAAGTACTTCTTCATTTTGTTTTGAACATGTTTTGAACCAACCAGGATCTAAATTTTTCAGTGGTTTTGGCCCTATATAACACTTAATTTAATGAAACCCCAGATCCTCATGTCTGTGACTGCAGCTGCAAACTTTTAGCACTTCTGTAAAGCAGCTCTGGCAAATGAGGAAGACGCGGCTGCTCCTGTGAAAGCTCTTGCTTATGTGGCTTACCGACTCACAGAGTAACTTCGAGGCAGGGGTAGACACAGACCCAGCTCTCCAGGGAGGCATCAACTGTCTACCAGTAGACCCTCCTTTCTTTCTGCAATCCCTTGCTTCACCAATTGCATAGGAGTTTCCCAGACCTGCTAAGAAAGGATGCAGCCTAGCTGACCAGCTCTTCACTCCCTCCAGCCAAGGTCCAGTCCGGGTGCTGAAGAGGTGGCAATCCAGGGCAAAATGCAGGAAGTAATCATATACACAAGACAGCTGAAGTTAGGTTGCCCAGGCAAACCCATTTCTGGCAATTTCTAGCTCTTTGGTACTTGGCTTTGCCAGTTTTAAGGGGGGGGCGGGGGGAGGTTCAATGTCATTAGTAATGCTTTCTTTCATTCATACTTTAAAAGAAGAAAGCTATAGAAAGGAAATGCCAAATATGTTAGCTTTCCAGATATGGACAACAAGCTCCAGGTAGCTGGGGTACATCTGACCTCACTGGAGGGGGAAAGCAAGCCTGGCTAGAGCTCTCAGTTGAAGGATCGGCAAGAGGTTGTCGGGGTCAGACTTCCAGCATGTACTGGAGTTTCTATGTCAAGACAGACTTACTGGAGTTTACCCCAGGCTATTTTGAAGAGGTGAACCACATTCTCCTGTCCTATACAAATAAACTGGTTGGGTAATTAGTTGAGCAACCTCTAATTTTCTCCTGGCAAGGACTTTGCAGCTCATGAGCAAGTACTCAGATGTGCATTTACAGGAGTCTCCAGGTTAGCAGATCCCAAACCCTGGTAGAGTACATCTATTTAAGGCAAAACTTTCTCTCACTGCTGCCTCCACAGGCCCTGTCTAGCTTCTGGGATCTTGTCAGAAATGGACCAGATCACCCAGCCACACTTGGGACACCGAAAAGGCTCAGCTGCCAGACGCCCCCCAGTCAACCAGGGTTCCTCTGCTTCCGCTGCCTGGGCTGAGCCCACCAGTTGAACTATCCAAGCGCATGGACAGGGTGTGCGGAGGGTGCAGATGTTGTCTGACAGTTTGACTCATCTCGGTGGCAGTCTCGTTCGGTGATGACGGGGAAGGCCCAAAGAGGAAGGGCAGTGACCCATTTAACCAGAAGTGCTGATCCACCCAGGGTAGACTTACTGGTGTTGGTAAGTGGCTATAGCCCCAGCTTCCTTCATGCTGTCCAGCATGTGCATTTCCAGGCTACCACAAGAGCAGGAGAGGCACATGTGGCTGTCCAGCTCTGCCACAGTGGCAGCAGGACCCAACCCTGGGCCCCTGCTAGTGCTGCAGTGAATCCAACTGAAGCAACCAAGCAGCAAAAATTGAGCTCCCAGGGGATGACTACAGCCTGATGGAGGATTTGATGTTTACTGGGTATTGGTTGCACCCATGATGCATGGCATGGGGGTGGACGGTGAATGTGTTACTTGTCTCTTAAATTAATACATGATTCTTGAGCATATTACGTCGCTGCTCCATGATGCTATTCAGAGGAAAATGTTCTTCAACACCACCCATCACCATAAAACATGTTCAAGACTCCCAAGGATTGAGTACAGCTTATTTAGGACATGTTCTTACAGCTAGACTCCAAGACACCCACCTCAGCAGAAGATGGCTGTGAACAACACTCATACCAATACTGTGTTCCCACCCCAATGGGATCTGCTTCAATTTTGGATTACATGAATGTATACACTAGTTCTCCCTTCTGCCCACCCCATTTGGTGGGAACGAGCTTCCGAAATACTTCAGCTCACGCAGTGTAGCTGGAGAAGGTATTCAGCACAAGTAGCTGCACTGATGGGTGCACACGCAGTGAGCTTGCGCCCAGGCATGTGTGAGGCTTTTACAAGCAGTCCTGGAGCACAGCATGTCAGAGGCAGCACGGGGGAGCATGGAGCAGACAAGCTGTGAAGGAGAGGACAAGGGAGCTGTGCAGAAGGTACAATGTGCAAGTAGTGCTGATTGGCAGTACCACACTGGCAGAGTTATCAAAACACAAATATGTGTCCACACCCCATCAGCCTGGATGCTCTGCATTGGTGCACACTGGCGCACCCACGGCTCTCTCATGCTGCCAGCTCTCTGGGAGACAAGCTATCCCACAGCAGGCTGCCAGGGGAGGCAGCAGCAGGGCTGAGCCCCTGTCCCACACCTGGTCCATCCCCCAGAGCCCCTGCCCAACTCAGGGCTCTTCAATGCCTTTTTGAGAGAAACACGAGGAGGGAGGGAGGCTCATGGTCCAACACCCAAACACAAGGGAGGACCCATTTAGTGCTGGCTATTTCAGAGGGCTTACAAAGTCCCACAGGTTTCCTCAGGGGACTTAGAGCAGCAGAGGGAGGGACGGAGGGAGATGGACATGACCATCAATCCTGTGCTTTCCATCCTCACACTTCAGCACCCTGGCACAAGAGACAAGCTCCATAACCAGCCTCCTGGGGCTTTGGAGGTGGGATGAGGGAGAAGTGCTGTACTCTAAGCCATGCCAGTGGTGCTGCTGCAAGGCCCTGACTTGAAAAGTCAGTCCTCCTGACATAAATACTGCCAACATCGGCTTCAAAGAGCGGACAGAAAAAAGGTGGAAACTCCTTCCCGCCATTCTTTACCAAACTCCAAACTTGATGTCCAAGAATCATGCCATCTTCTATCTTATTTAAGCCAAACGTTGTAACTTCAGTTTTGGGTATCCTTGTTTTTCATGTTAATACCTGGTTCCTTGTGAGCCCTCTGAAACTGTTGGCCAAAAGGGCATCTTGTCCACCTGCACAAATCACTTTGTTGGCTCTGTGAGAAGTATGTCAGTTTACCAGTCTGAAATGAGTTGTCTTTCCATTTCTTTGAACATCTTGTGAGGGGGTGAGCAAAGGAACAGACTTATCTCTGAGCCAGGCATTGCTCTGCACATCTCTATCACATGGCATTTCACTAGTTTCCACTCTAAACTATTGGGACTTTTAGTCCCCACATGGGGAAATTTTCCTGCAGCCCTAATTCAGGTCAGCACCCATCTTTGGATGTCTCCCAACTGTCTGCCACAGTGGGGCAGACAAAAGCAACCACAGCATGCCAGGGAAGCTTCCTCCCTTGTACCATGGCATTACAGTTATAAAGGATGAATTTTCATCCCATTCGTCATGTAGCCTTCCTCCTTTCCCTGCTGCTGTACAGTGAGAGGGACCCATCAGGTAGTTCTATCCTGAATTTGGAGCACAGCCTTGTACCCATTGGCACCTCATCTAGGTGCCAGCTGGCACTTAGGCATGCTCCAGAGCACGGCTGGGAGAAATGCTGAGGTGCTGCTACCCCAGCATATGAATCCAGCTGCTGAGCAATGCCAGACTTCGTGGCTGCAGCAGATGGTTGCTATCAGATGTAGAAATGTGCCCCAAAGTCCTGCCTGAATGAGGTTCCATCTCACGTGCAAGTGGCCAGGTAGGGTACACTGGCAGTTTGCATTGCTCTTAAAACTTGTGCACGTGATCGAGTGACCCGAGGTGTCCAACAGGCAGCAGAACAGATGTCTGCTTCCGCAGCACAGACACAGAAAACACCTTGTGCCTGCAGCCAAGGGATTTTGTTTGAACCAATGAGTTTGGTTCTGCCAGTCTGTTACATTGGCAGCATGGGGTGCCATCATCCTGCCTGGTCACATAGCAGTGCCAGCATGCACCAGCACCTATCAGCTACTCATCTATTATCTGCTGGCTGAAGCTGGTGAGTGAATCAGGTCACTTTGCTTGTAGGGAAAGTCTGCACAGAAGAAAAGGGCTGCCTCACTCAGCAAATGTCTCTGCAATGCAGCAGTGCCTCTGTCTGGCACCCAGAGAGCTTGCCTCTGTCACAGAAGCCAGTAGCCTGTGTACTGAGAGGCACTTGCAGATACCCACACGTTAGCTCTAGCACAAACCCCCTCTTGCTAACTGGTCACCAGGTGTTCAGCATCACCTTGCAATGAGCTGTCAGTAGGCATTTTATCCTCTATCAGAAACTATTTGTTAGCCTGCCTAGTGACTTGACTGGATTTTGGAGCCCACAGGCCTGCAGCACAGCCTTGCTGACAACTCCATGCAATTTCAGGACAAGCAGTTGTCCAGCAAATCCAAACAGCCCAGACGATGCTGCTGGAATTGGGGCTATGGCAAAGCAGAGGCAGGAACTGCAGTGTCAGGAGTCAGGACTTCCCCTGACAGTGCCACAGATGACAACTCAGCAAATTCATTCTGCAGAAACTAGATAACATCAGCACAAGGTAGTGGTTACTGGCAAATGATCCTGTTCCTGAAGCTTCATCTGAGACGTGACAGGCAGCAGTGAAACCTCGTTGTCAAACAGTCCCAACCTCTGCTTTTGCTGAAACCTGTGCAAGCTTCTGGAAGTAGCTTCTTGCTGGTATTTCTTAGGAGCTCTAGTTTGCAATTCTGGGAGCCCAGGGTTGGAATGGGGCCTTTTTGTCTAGCAGAGTCCCTTGGGCTGGACAGGGATGTGGAGTTATCAGTCCTACCCACATCCTGCCTTGAATGGCAGGAGTTTTTCCTCCTCCACAGGGGCTAACCTTTCACCAAAACCCGTAGCACCCTGCTCATACACTGCGCACAGAGAGCAGGATACAGGGCTGGAGAACCAAGAGTCAGTCTGCACAGAAACATTCAGAACAGCTAAGCTGTATTAAATTTGGAAGTGATTGAAGTTCAGTAAACCCCTTGGCAGATGGTCTTAATCAGAATTAGAGCAGTCCTGATACAAGACAGCTCACTCCCTCCCCCCTGAGGAGGCTTTGCTCACAAAGAGCTTATCACCACAGGCCATCATACCCACTGCCCACTCTGCTAAATTCATCCCTAGTCTGGAGTCCACTTGAGTTGGTCGCTCCACTTCAAAACACCAAACCAAAGTAAACCCATTTTAATGCAGCAGCAGAGCATCTGGAGGAGGGTTTTTCATCACCACACCAGCCCACCACTTTAGCTAATTGGGAATAACTTCTTAAACACCAGATGCAGAGAAAAGGCAAATCCCAGCCATGCTGTCCGAGGTGCCAGCCCTTCCCAGTGGTCCTGCCCAGTGAGAGCCAGGGAGATCTCCTGGCTGTAGGGAAGGATCTTTTCCTCAGATGGAAAGTGTTGGTGGCAGAGACGCTGGCAGCAAGTCCACTGCCAGTGGGTCCAGTTATACCTCTGACAGCACCTGCCCTGCCTGCCTCCATCACTCAGACGGGAGATGACCCTGGCCACCCCACCAACTGCACGGTGTGTGGAGAATCACGCCCTTAATCAGAGACAGGTAACCCAGCCTGCTTTGCCCTCAGGGCAGTTTCCAGAGCCCAGCAGGAGCGTGGTGCCTCCATGCAGGCCCAGGGCTTGTACCTGTGTCCCACTGTCTCATGCCCATGCTTCGGTCACCAGCAACCAGTGATCACAAATAAGCAAAAAGTGCACAAAGGCATGGGGAACCAAGTGGTACTTCCAGGCTCAGGGAAGCACTAGTTAGTTTTTCTCATTTCTCTGCAAATATCTTGGCAACATAGTTTTCCCTGGCTCCAGTCCTGCAGTCAGTCATGGGCCATGCTGGTGCCAGTACTGCTCAGCATAGTCTGGCATGCATGGTAACCAAAGCAGTTTTCACGACTCTTGGTAAATATCAAAGCTGGGGATTTTTGGGGCTTATTTTACAGCAAGTTGAGTAGACGAACCAATAAGGACAAAGATAAATGAATACCTGTTGCCCTTGGCTCAAAATGAAACAAGAGAGGCAGGTCACTGGCAAAGGTTAGTTAATACCACTTACCACAGTGTCACGGAGTCGCCCTTGGCCCCTGACGAGAAAGGCAGAGGAGGAAGTTTTTCAAATACAAAGTGAGAACAATACTGTGAAAAACTGCAAAGTAACGGCCTCCAAGCATCCCTTGCCTGTGACCAGCTGCAGGCCAAGGGAGATGTTGGATGCCTTTGCTCCCAGGACAGCACACAGGGACTCTCACCTACAAGGAGATGGGGGCAGCAGGTGGGGAGAGGCTGAGAGGAGGAGAAATGGAAGGGAGCTAACACAAAGCTTTGGAAGCACGATGCGCTGCTCATGATTGCAGGAGAGAGAGTGAAGAGCTGGCAAGACCAGGGGCCCTTCTAGGGAAACTGAGTTCCTGCTGCCCATGGGCCCTGCCACTTCTCAGGGGTCCAGCAAAAAGAAGGGAGTCAGACGTGCAGTGTGAAGCACCCACACCAACCTACTGTAGCTGGATCCTCAGCCCAACATACCTGCAGTGCCTCAGGCCTGGTGCTTTGAGGCAAAGTGGCACCTCCCTTTCCCTGGGAGAGAAGAGGTAAGAGTGGCTTTGCAGAGGAAACTGGGGTCGTATGTGAAGGACACCAGGGAGCTGCGACAAGCATCTAAGCAATGGAAAAGTGATGGGGCTCACCTGCTTGGGATTCAGGAAAAATATTGTACCACATCACCCTGGGGAGAGCTCTGGTCTGAACTAGGGAGTGTGGGAAGGAGCACAAGGGTTATGACCTGAGCATAGATCTCACAAAACAGGAGATAGGCATGTGCTAGATGAGGTGTTTGGCACATCAGGAGTTCCTGCTGGTGGTCCTGGTTGTTGAGGCACCTCAAGTATCTCAGAAGCAGAGGGACCTGCAGGTGAAATGGTGGGAAGCACCAGTGTTGCTGAGTGGGGTTATGTCTGACAAGAACCATCTGACACCATGGGGTGGCACCATGAACCACAGAATGACAGAAAGGTCTGGGTTGGATGAGATCTTTAAAGGTCATTTAGTTTCAACCCCCACCATGGCCAGGGACACCGTCCTCTAGACCAGGTTGCTCAGAGCTCCATCCAGCCTGGCCATGAACACTTCCAGGTTTAGGCAACCACAACTCTGGGCAACTTGTTCCAGTGCCTCACCACCCTCATTTTAAAAAGTTCTTATATCCAATCCAAACCCTTTTCCAACGTAAAACTGTTGCCCCTTGTCCTGTCACAACAGGCCCTGGTAAAAAGTCCCTCTCTAGCTTTCTCATAGGCCTTTTAGGTTCTGGAAGGTCTCTACGGTCTCCCCAGAGCCTCCTCTCCTCCAGGCTGAACAGCCCCAGCTTCCGCGGTTTTTCCTCAAAGGAGAGGTGCTCCAGCCCTCTGCTCATTCCCGCGGAGCTGCTCTGGACCCGTTCTGACAGCCGCCCGCCAGGCCGAGAGCGGTCAGCACTCGCAGCGCTCTCCCAGGCCGCGCAGCACGCAGGGCGGGCGCTCCAAAACCCGCGCCCGGCCGTGTCCCAGCGGGAGCGGTGCCGGCTCACCCGCCCGGCCCGGCCCCGCCCGCCCCGCTGCTCCTGCGGCCGCCCGGCGCCTCCTGCCGGCGGTCCCGGCTCCCGCCGCCTCCTCCCGCCCCGCCGGAGCGCAGGGGCAGCCCTGCCCGCGCCCAGGGCAGCAGCGGGGCTGGGGGCAGCCTAAGGGGCACACGCGAGCGGGACACGGCGAGGCCACGAGAGCGGCCGGCACGGGGGCACAGGGAGAGGGAGAAGAACCGGCCGCGCGGCCGCTGCCCGGTGCCCGGGCACCGGAGCACCCCGCCCGCCGACGGGCTCCTGCGTGCCTGTCTCCAGCCGCTTCGTGTGCGGATTTGCGTGAGCACGAACGAACCTCTGGCTGGAGCAGCCAGCGAGCGAGACAAGAGCTGTGTGCCAGCAGCGGCTGCCGTCCTCAGGGGTCCTGCACCCAGGGCCAGCAACTGCGGCTCTGCCTACAGCCAACTACAGCCACCCACGGAAGGGATGCACGTGTGTGTCTGTGCGCCCATCAGCATGAGGGGTGCAGCCCGACGACAGGCTGGACCGGAACGTGGGGGTGGCAGCAGCCCCACATCTATCAGGCTATCGGCTCCAGCACCACCGTCAGCGTACGAGATCCCATCAGCTCCGCCCGGTAGTGGCCCACAGTGCACCTAACACAGGATGTGGTGGTGTGGAATGGCCAGGAGGTGCTTCCAGCCCTTTGAGAAGTGTCCCTTGACTTTTCCAAGCCAATCCACATTACCAGTCCTCGCAGTACCTTCCAGGCGGGAGGACACTGCCACAGGTACAATAATTGCTATTTTGGTTTGGAAGCACATTATGGCATGCAGCAACATAGGATGTGCCTGGCATGTGCGCACTGCTCCTCCCCAGGCCCAGAAGATGCCATGGTAAATGCACCAGCCTGAAAGGTGTTCAGCGGGACCACCTCTCCCATGGCAAAACTTGTAACTTTGCTAAGGCGGGGCCTGAGTCTCAAAAGGACACATGCTACCAGACTCAGGAACATCAAGTAGCCTGTCTACTACAGCAACTGGGAGGGATTTGCAGCCCTCAGGACTACACAAGAGATGGAGCCTTTTCCATTCAATACTCACAGGCTGTGGCTTAAAGAGGAAGAGGCCCAAACTCTCTACATTAACTCCAATGGGTTATATCCTAACCAAGCCTCCTGAAAAGAAATGCCCTAAACTTCAAGTGGCAAACCCCTTGGTTTGCAGCAGAATGGAATGCAGCAGAAGGTTGTTTGGAGGACAGAGTCATGGAGTGGTTTGGGTTAGAAGGGACCTTAAGGATCATCTCATTCTAACCCCTGGGCATTGCCAGGACTCAAATAGCTCCTGCCCAAGCCTTGGCTAAGCATTAAACTGATCCATCCCTCTTCAGCTACTGCCTTTGCCACTGCTTCTAGCATGCTTGGTTTCAAAGGGCACCTTATATTTCTCATCCAAGCCAGCTGTTTTCATAGCAGAAATTTTTACTGCAGTGTGGCTATTTGCAGAGAAGGGCCATTGTCTGCCTCCACAGCACTGCCACTGCTTCTGGAAGGTGTGTGACAGCTGACAAGGTGAGCAAAAAGCACAAGATGCCTGTGGCTGGATCTGATATTCCACAGGGAGCACCTGCTGACCACAAAAGAGGAAAGTGATACTTGCAGGAATCTGGAAATTCATTACCATGTACACTTTGCAGAGGGAAATAAAAGTCCTGAAGAGATAAGTAGGCCCAGCAAGGGCTCTGTGTCCTCTCAGCAGAGCTTGATAAGAGACAGAGGTATCGTATTTTTTCAAAGTATGAAGATTGGCTCCTGACAGCAGCTGAGGAATGGGTCACATCTGAGCCACCTACTCCAGAGTCTGGGCAGAAGGAACAGCAGATGTACAGCTGCCCAGCTTCAAGGGCTGCACAGTAGGCAGTGGCAGCCAGGCCAGACACTGTTTTTCTCCACCAGCTTTGTTTCAGGTCCTGCCCTTGCTTATCCCTCTAGAGAACCTCAGCCAACAAGTTCTCCTAGGGCAAAAACCTTATCTCTAACAGATCTAACATCTTCACACTAAATAAGGCACCTAGCAGCATTTTGTGAGGTCTCAAAGGAAGAAGTTATAGAATGGGAGGGGAAATCCAGGAAGAAAGTATGAAGAAGAGAAAAGACTAATGTCAGATATCCTCAGAGGTTAAGGATTAGAAAAGGAGGCTACAGAGAGAGAAATATTCACTAGAGAAGTAATCATGCTCAAGGAAGACCTCCTCCCATGCTGTTGTCACCTTTAGGTCAAGCTCATCTCAAACTGCTTCAGTGCTCCTGGCTGGAGTGTGCATCTGTACCGGATGCTGAAAGTTTCTTTTCACTTGCAGTTTGCATCAAAGTAGCCTCATCCACAGTGGAAATGGGTTGGACACTAGGAGAAGACTGGGTGCACCATTGCTCCTCTGAGAGCCCTCAGTGGTGCACATACGTGAAGATGGGGTCTGCCCCAGTCCAGACCACTGCCTTCATACCTTTGAGTTAGGAACATAGCCATACTGTCAGGGCTTGGTTATTCATATGAGGATGCTGATTTTTCAGTTCTAGCACCTGAAGCACACCTGGCTGATTATCTTCTCAACCTCCACACTCCTGTGTTCAGCACTGGCCAAAGCCCAAGGTAAGATTTTAGGAGCTTTCCCAGCATGTCAGTTAGGGGCAAGGCTAGGACCTGGCAGAGACCCAAAGGAACTATTCTATCTCTTTATCATCCCTGAAATGAGTTCAAATTGCTGTAACTGGGACTGAAACAAGAAGGACCGAGTAAGGATGAGATGGTCTCCCTCTGCCTTTCCAGCTGGCAAGCCATGCCTGCCTGTCCTCTTTGCTGCAGCACTGAGCTACTTCTTGCTTGACAGCAGTCAGAGCTGCCTCCAAGGCTCCCAGCTTCTCTAGGGCGAATTCTCCCAGCCCACAAGTACTAACACAATCACAAAAAACAGCTCTGGGATCTGCTCCACCCTGCCACACAGCCAGGAATGCACCCAGTATGTTCAGCCCTGGCACATGCTGCCACAGTGCCAAGATCTGCCCAGAGCCCACTGTGGCCTGACCCGAACAGAGCTACGGGAGGACGGCATACACAAACATAACATTTACTGAGAGATACAGAACTGAATATTATGAAGGACATACATGGATGGAGAGGGTAGCGACACCACTGCAGAGGGCAGCTTGGACCCCTTTCCCAGCATGCCAGGAAAGGAGCTGGATGCTACCAGACAAGTGACAGAATGGAGATAACTGTGGCATATGTGTTGGTATCAAACAGACCATCATAACATACATTTCTATGGGATCACGTCTAGTGATTATATAAATCCTTATAGAGATTGCTGTATAAAAACTTTGTAAAAAATACTTTAAAAAAGTGTAAAAATGTGCATTCAAAAGCACGGCCGACACGGACAGCTGGGCTGTAAACATTATACTGAGTGTGCTTGTGAGGGGCGCCTGCGCCACCAAGCCCCGACAGGCCTGCCCACCAGACGGGGCTGCATCAAGTGTTTGTGGTTCTTGGGTTTGGGTTTCCTGCTGGAGCATGCTCCAGGAGCAGCAGCAGCCTCTGGGCAGGGTGCTAGTGGGCACCGTGCAGCTGCCACTCCTCTGCCTGCTGCCCCTGCTACCCACGGGGTGTGTGGTCCTTGCAGGACATGTGGCATCGTGGGTCCCCAGGGCTGCGGTGAGGTATCACAGGGAGGTTTCCCTCACTGGTGCCACTAGCCCTGCTCCCAGGTTCAGCCTCAGAGTACATGGTTGGCAGGTTCTGTCCCCATATTTGGTCCATAGTTCCCAAGGAAGCCCACTGGGTCCTCACTGGGTCCGCACCAGGTCTGGGTGCACAGTTCTTCATACAGTACATACATTAGAGACCCTGGAACACCCTGCGCCACTGTCTCCTCCTCCTGGCCCAGTGCCACCTTCACTTCTTCTCTAGCTGCTCCAGCAGTGGGTTAGCTTCACTCTCGGGAGTCTTGATGCTGTCTGTCCGCACGATGCAGGTGGGACGGTGCCGGTTTAGCATCAGGATCAGCTGCTGCCTCTCCTGTTTCAGCTCTTCTATCTGGGCCTTCAGTTCAGCATTCATGAGCTCTAGACGCTCAGACTCCTAGCAGGACAGGAACACAACCACATGTGACTTTACTCCAGCAGGATGAGATACGAGGAGAAACAATTTGGCCAACAGGCCATCTCTGCTCAGTGCTGCCCCTCAGCCCTTGGAGCATGGGAGCAGACCGAAGACCTGCCAAGGCACCAGGTCCCTCCAGGCAGTTCATCCCCAGCCCTGCTGCCTTGTGCTACCTAGTGCCACCACAGGGAAATACACAGCCACTGCCTGGGGCAGGTCTCTGCTGCACCACAGCTAAACCTCTGCCTGGCTGCTTTCCGTGGTCTGGAAGGGTGCTTGGGAACAAACCTATGTTTAAATTTTCGCGCCCTGCATCTGCAAGGACCTGCCCTTGTGAAATGACTCCTTGTCCCCCACTGTGTCATTTGCCCATGTTTCACCACTCTTTCCAGAAAAACAGCAAGGTGCTGTGATGATTTTTCTGCTTTGGAGTCGGGGTGAGTGGGCATCTGGCTCTGAACAGGAAGACCTTCAGGAATTCAGGCAAGGGGCCAGCACGGGGCCAGCCTGTCCTGTGCCACGCTCATGTGAGTGCTCCTGCTCCAGCACTGAGGCAGGAACACTATCATCTCTCCCCCACCACAAGCCCAGAGCCCTACTCCAGCCCTGGCACCACAGGTAAGCTCTGCCTTGGCATATACATGGCCACCACCTTCAGAGTCTCATGAAAAGTGGGGGCCTGTGTTTTCCCAGAAAGAGGCACAGGAGCAAGGGGAGGCTGAGGGGCAGTTCAGGAGGCAATGTTGCCTACAGCTGCGGCACCTTCCTATGGAGGTCCCTGCTGTGCCCTGGGACAGATTGGGGCACCCACCCGCTGCAGGAACTCCGTCCTCTCCTTCTTCTTGTTACGACATCGTGCTGCTGCTACCTTGTTTTTCTCCCGGCGCCTTTTCCTCCTCTCCTCTTCCTCATCCAGCTGCAACAAGACAGAGAAACCCAGGTCAGAGCCAGCAGATGTGGGTTGGGGCAGGAGGTAGGGGTGAGCATCTTGCAGCCCCTGCAGTGGCAGGGCAAGATGGAAGCCACCCATGTCATTGGCCTCCAGTGACATGATCTAATTCTCACCAGGAACCAGGTGTGCTGCTGCTACAGCCTCTAACTCCACTTTGTGGGGACACAGAGAGGGAGAGCAGTGTGGCATCCACAGCTGAGGGCCTGGCTGGCAGGGGACAGACAACCCTTCACAGGGCTTCTCCCTGCCTGAGAAAGGGCAGAGACAAGAACAGAGCCCCTTCCCACAAAGATGAGCACTGTTTGTCACACAGACATCTGTAGGCACAGCTCTGTGAGCACAGTCATTCAAAGCATCACACAAGCAGCCAAGGGTAAGAGGTAGAAAAACCTGAAAGATCTGCCAGCTGGGCCTGGCTGTTCCCCCCATTCCAATGCCTGGGACTGGTCTGCTGCAGCTGCAGTGCTGGCTGAGTCACAGGGCAACCATGGTAAAGTGGGGACAGGTCCTACATCCCCTGTAAAGAAGCAGGACACAGCAGTACCTGCACTGTTTGCTATGTGCTCTCTGACACAAACCACACAGGCCAGGTCAATAAGCCCTATGGGTTGGAAACCCATAATCAAAGTATTTAGGGATATTTGCTACAAAGCCTGTGTAAATGGCCTATGGCATGCTTACATCCAAGAACCCAAGCCAGCTCCTTCAAGAAAAATCTGAGTGCTGGAAAGCCCTGTGAAGTCAGCATCCAGGTTACACTTTGTAGCATGGATAGAGATGAAAAGGTCCTCAGTGCCTTCATCCACATTTGGCCTGGGACTCTCAAATTTGAGATGTCAGACTAAACTCCTGTTGACTGATACCTGATGGCCAGATCTACCCACATGTAGATGCACCAAGAGTTCCTGCTGGTAATGAAAGCTGCAGGTTCCATCATCCACAGTAAACTGCGCACAGTGCTAACATTCACCAAGTCCAAAACCCACTAAGCAAAACATCCCAGCGTGATGTGTAAGGACTGGATGAAACATGGACTCAGCAAAGTTAAGGTGAAGGGGTACCTCAAGTAAGCTGAATATCTGATACGCAGCATGTGGCATGCTTTAGAAGGCAATGTCCAAGTTTTATAGCACAAATAGATTTTGTATCTTCTCTACCTTACTTCCCAAGCATTATACCAAAGTTGCTATTTTAGCTGGGGCTAAAATATTAAGCAAAGTCAGCACAAGCTATACACAGACTTCCATAATGCCAGGCTGCCACCATTCCTTTGCCAAGGCAGTGTCATGGGGCACCATGTACCACACTCAGGAGAACTAGGATGGGAACTGCACTGTGGCTGCACAGTCAGAAATGGATAGCTCACACTATAACCACATAACTCAGATGTGACAGGTGACAGCAGAAATTATCAGAAGGGCTCAAACTCCATGCTCTGCTGCCAGCTCTTAAAAAAATGTCCTCACAGAGTTTAAGAGGAGGTGGACATCAGGGTAGCCATGATCCCCCTCTGCACATTTAACAACCACTCATCTCCCCCTAAGACAGCTCCTTGGCCTTTTAGTTCAAGGATTATTGGGAGGGTGCAGAGAAGGAACATGTGCTCACAGCTGCAAAGCTCAAGAAGCACCCCCAGACTTTGCTGAAAAGTACATCTGGGGTTGTAACAGGAACTGGAAGACCAAACAGCAACTGCATAAGCCCTGGGAACTGCCTGACATATTTCCATGCCTCATTGCTCCATTCAACAAGAATCACAGAATAAGTGACTGTCCCTGTCCCCTTCAGCTTCCCTCCACCCTGCAGAGGGCCCAGCTGTGAGGGGTGTGTCCTTAAGATGGAGTGCAGATGCTCAAGGAAGTTGGCTCAGCACAGACAGTGGCCACTTGAACTCTTGGCTCTGCTTTTTGACCACAGCTCCTGTAACTTCATAGAACCGTGAAGGTTTGGGTTGGGAGGGACCATAAATATCACCTCATTCCAAACCCCCTGCCATGGGCAGGGACACATTCCAGTAGAGCAGGTTGCTGAAAGCCCCACCCAGCCTGGTCTTGAACACTTCCAGGGATGGGGAATCCACAACTTCTCAGGGCAGAGAAGCTCTCTTCTTCAAGAAAACAGGTTTCCTCCTGTCTGCTTCTGCTTGATTTCAGTTCAGAAAGGTGACATAGCCCTGGTGCTGGGGGTTAGGACTCTACTCAGAGGCACAAGGGCCAGTGATGGTATATCACCAAATATTATGTCTCAGCAGTTGATCTCCAGGGGATCACTGTGGGAGGTGTGGGGATGCCTCCTGAATTGCTTCAGTCAGCAGCCTCAGAGACCGAGGTGATCATCCGCCTGAGAGGCAGGGCTCTGCCCCAGAGGGAGCACCCTAGGCAGGTTGCAGTGGTGGAAGAGCCCAGAAGCACCTGTCTACAGCTACCCCAAGAAGAGAGCAGCTTGCCCAGTGAGGCTGTCCATCACCCTGTGGGGAAGCCAGCACCCAGTACCCACCGGGTGGGTTTTGTGTGCACTCCCAGGCACAAACAGCCCAGCTCCAGGAGATGCTGGTGCCCCCCACAGAGCAGAGAGAGCTGCCTGTGCCCAAGCTCACAGAGAGCAGTCTGCCCTCCCAGGCACCACACAAAGCATGGCATGCCTGTACCCAGTGCTCATGGGCTCCGGCTCCCTGCAATAGGAAAGTAGCTGCGGGCTGCATTGCAAAATTATGTGTGGGCAGCTTCTTGGCTACTCATGGGATAAGCAGCTACTGCTTCATCTCCCCCGGGCTTTTGCTGCAAAGCCTTGCCAAGGGCAGCTCCATTTGCTGTCTTCAACTCCTCAGATTCACGGGTCATGTAGGGGAGGAACCAGCTGCAGGGAAGGCAGTCATGCAGGGGCTGCCAGTGGATTTCCTCTTATCTTTCCTCCACATGGTGTCTCAAAAACTGGTTCAGAGGACACTCAGCACTTTCAGTACCTACTGTGGGGCAGAACTGCCCTGTCCCTGTTAAGCACACGCCAGTGAGATCACATACCCATGCCCACAAAAAGCAAAAGCAGCTGTTGCAGGGCCAGCTCAGAGGTGCCTGAGATGCCCCAGGAAATGAGCTGGGCCCAGGAAAACAGGATAGCCACAGACTGCTTCTTTCTTCCCCAATCCATGAAGCAAGGTGGGCACTACAGGCCCATTCGCTGTAGGATACCCAGGCCAAGAGCTTGCAAGAGAATTTGGCTTCAGCTGCAAATCCATGACTGCTTTGTCCATGGAGGGACCAAAGCCACTACCATCCCCCAAGCCCTTACAATGTCCTCTCATGGCACCCTAGCCCAGCTCCTTCCATTGAAGAGCTGCCCAGTCCTTCCTCAGGTGATCTCCAGGCTGCACAAGCTGACTGGACGCTCCCTTGGGCACAGAGCTCCTATGCAAGGTGATCAGATGGACTTCATCCTACCAGCTCTCCCTGCAGGAGTCCACATCAAGGGGCTAAGGGGAAAGAACAGGGACCCTCCCCACAGGTTGGCCTGGCTGCTGCTCTTCTGCCAAAAGAGTTGGGCTAAATTAAGTGTCAGCCCCATTTGGAGAGTGGGTTGCTCCCTGGAACTGCTATTTTACCCCCTTCAGCTCACAGCTCATCATAGGCAGCTTTTCACATCATCTAGCACTTCCTTGCTCCTGTGTCCAGAGAACACACATCACCCCATCCTCACACGACATCATCCAAAGTAACCTCACATACAAGCAAATGCAGTGTTCAGAAGGGCTGTTTATTGGACCTTCTGAGAACACCCACCATCCTCACCAACGTGGGACCTCTGAACTGGTGGGTTTCCAGCTCCATCTGCAGGCAGTGGGAGGTGCAAGCACTCACCACCTGTACAGCCAGAGTCAAAGACTGGAGAACCAATACATAGGACAACCATGCAAGGAAAATGCTGTGCAAGTGTCTCCCTAGTCCCTTCAGCCTAATTCTGATGTGCCAGCCTGCGGTACCAAGGTGACATCACCCACCTTCCCCATGCTAGGAGACTCAAGGTGAAGCAAGGGCCCACCCCAAGCAGGAGGGCAGGGACAGCCCCCGCAGCACAGGCTGAGTCACTACTGCCACTTTGCACCGCTTGCCTGTGCATGTCATCCCTACTGGAGAGGCAACAGCAATGCCAGAAGCACCAAGGCCTTGGTTGGCACAGGTGACAGTTTGTGCAACTCCTCCTTTGGGTGCATGCCCTAACCTAGGGACATGATGGCTGCACCAGACCCCACTCCACAGGCAGGGTTTCAGTTCAGCCAGCTGCCAATGGCTGCAGGGGACCAGTCAGGTCTGGGACAACGAGGCCACCACTGCCAGCCAGTGCTGCAGGGACAAGAATTCAGGCAGGTGGAAGAGGCAGCTATGGGAGCAGCTACCAACATGCATGCACATCCAACAGGCAGTGTGACATGCTTATAAAACACACTGCTGGTCAGCCTGGTAGGACAGAAAAGCACAGGCAGGAGGGAAAACCAGTCAGGTGCAGACAATGACCCTGCAAGGTCACCTGCAGCCAGCAGCGCCCCCAAGACTCACCTCACTTTTCACAGGCTGGGGTCTCTTCCCAAGCTTCACCTCCAGGAAGTGGAGCGGCGAGATCATGGCCCCGATGTTGCGGATGTCGGCGCACTTCAGCTCCTCGGCAGTCAGGGCTGTGCCAGGCAGTCCTGTCAAAGGGCCGAGCCCAGGCAGCGCACCAGCCGTCAGGGACGGGTCGGGGATCTGCCCTGGCATCATAGCAGGGGAAACAGCTTCGTAGGCTGGAGGGAGAGTGAGACATCCCATTACAACCCAGCCTCATGACACAGCACAAGACAAATTCATTCTACAGTCCCATCACCTAATGGAGTGAGAACCAGGGAAGGGAGACATCCTTCCCCAGGGATGGCAAAGGCAGAGACTAAGCAAAACCTGCATGACAGAAACCAAAATATATTAATCCTGCTAGGAAGAATAGGCTACTAGGATATAGATCAGGAAGGGAAGAGACAAAGCACCAGAAGAACAGGAGCTGGTTGCAATGACAGTAATGACCCCACAGACTACTGGGTTTTGGCACATCTAGTCAGGACTGGGACACAGCACAGAAAGACCACAGATAAAACTGCAAGATAAAAATCTGCCACTGTACAAACATCTCCCAGCACAGACATGAGGAAGCAAAGGCTGGAAGGGAAATGGAGCAAGGTGAAAAGACTTGTTCTGTCACAAAAGAAAACCAAAAAGTTGCAGTGTAAGTGAGAATAGGATCAGGACAAACTTTGGCAAGTCACTTATGGGCAGAAGAAAGGAAGTTATCAAGAAATATGAAGAACAAGCAGCAAAGAGATAAAGAAATAAAACTACACCTAAAATGGGAAGCTCCCAGAGCTGGAGCTGTTACATCAGTCCAAAAGCGAAGGGAGCAGACGGTTATTGGCTGCAGCACAAGTACATCCCTGCTGTGTAACTGGCCTGGGACACCTACAAGTCACCTATTTACAATGCAAGGAGTCAACTTCTGTCTGCACAGCAACCATTTCCCACCCTTCCTCAACTCAACCACATCTCCCAGTGTTGTGCACTGCTCTCCTTGCTCTGCCCAGTCAGACCAGTCTCAGCACACTACAGGAGCCTCCAGACATCCACCCAATCCTGCCCCAGTTCAGGAGGCACTGACACAGCTGGGATGAGGACTAGCAATGTCAGGAGAGATAAGAAGGCTAAAGGAGCAAACCCAACCACTGTGCAGCTTCCTGAAATCACAAGAGCTAGTCACGAGGCAGGATTCAAGGAATAGTTGGGGAAACTCATGGAAGCTCTCATAGCACGAACTGCCAGAATGAGGAGGTGCATTAAATGAAGAAAAACATGTACTTGCCCTGCTCTTTCCGAAGCATCCACTCTCAGCTGCTGAGTGACTAGGTTAGAGGTGATACAGACTTTTGGTCCAGGCAGTATAGTTGTGCTAAGCAGAGACATACATGCACTTTGCCAAGCCAGCTGCCACGGTTGCTCAGCACTTGCCATCCTGGGGTGACAAATCTATGTCAGTACCAGACTGAAAACGAATAAAGCTGTGTGTGACACAGGACTGCTGGGTCACAGAGTCACAGAACAGTTGAGGTTGGGCACAACTTCTGGAGATCACCTGGTCCAGCCCCCCTGCTCAAGTGGGATCAGTTGAAGAGGGTTAATCATAACAAACAGAGAAGTTAAGGATTTCTTGGCACTGGCACATCTCTTTACCTAGGAGATTATATAACATATTTGTTAGTGTGAAGGAACAGGAGATAAGCAGCAGAAGGGAAAGAAAGACAAGCATACATGTTAGTCAAGGGCAGAGAGGCTAATGCAAGCTCCACAGCTTCCAGCATGTCCTGTACAGACAGGAGGATTTGCAGCGGAGTGCGCACAAGCCTCAATGAGCTGTGAGTTGTCATACAGTCTAACCTACCACCAAAGAGGTCTAGGTGTCAGCATGAGACATCCCCTGGCAGAATTTGCTCAGCTGTGACCAACAGGACTTGAGAAAGAGCATAGAAAAGCAAATGAAGCAAGATAGAGATCATGAAATGGCAAGTAGGAATCAAGCCCTTTGCTCCAGTCACCCTTTAGGAGATCAGAAAAGGGGAGAGCAAGCCAGCACTCCGCAGTGCCAGGAGCCCTGCTGTGGGGAGAGGAAGCTGGGCCCAGGGACTGTGATCTGCACAAGATCATTAAAGCATGAAAAGGAGAAGACAGGAAAGAGAGACAAGTAACTTCTGAAGTGAAATGACTCTACTTGATGAAATGGACTCCTGCCCATTTGGTGACATAAAAGAAAGAGAAAATATTTGGTAATTATACTTGACCTCGGAAAAGACTATAGGTCAATTCCTTGAGATTGCAAGGACCTAAACTGATCCAAAGTATTTGCCTTCCACATTGATTTCTAAACCAGACAGTTGTAATTCCACATCAGCAGTAGTTGCCTTGTACACTGTCTGGAGATGCCGATGCAGCAGGGCTCTGAAGCTGCATGCTACCTCCCTCCCCCTTCCTTTCAGGTCTACACATGACTAAGATGCTTCATCTGTCCAGAAACCAGCACCATCATACCCTTAGGTTGCCCTCCAGACAGAAAAATGCAAGTTATTGTGCCTGAATCCTTACTGTGTTCCTCAGAGACTGCCCCTCTCCAGCAGAAAAGCACTAGGTCAGTGAGGTGGCATGGCAAAGGGGAAGTGACCCCAGAGGCTCTTCCCAGGATAGATTGCCACAGGACACAGCTGTTGTGGCATTAAATTAAGTCTACCATTTTGGGATAGCTGCACACACTGCAGATCTAGCCATTTCTCAGATGCTGCCACCAAGGCGACATGCTGTGGCACTGAGGAAGACACCTGCCAATAGCAACACACCCTGGGCCAGCTGCTGCACAACCCTCACCAGCAATCCCATAGATGTCCATACACAGTTTGATCACCTTGAGTTTAAGCAAAAATTTAAAAAATAAAATTAAACTAAAAAAAACCATCTGAAGTCTCTATCCTGCAAATACCATGTGAGCTGCCATGGCACAAACCGATTTGGGGCCTTGACCCACCCTTTCACAGGCTTCAGGTTGGAATTGACTTGAGCCCAGCACTGGATAATGAAATCCATTCTGGACTTGGGGGATGTAGTTTTAATTTATTCATAGAATATGCTGAGTTGGAAGGTACCCATCGGGATCATACAGTCCAACTCCTGGCCCTGCACAGGACAATCCAAGAGTCACACCATATGCCCAAGAGCATTGTCCAAACACTTCTTGAACTCTGGCAGGCTTGGTGCTGTGACCTCTTTCCTGGGAAGCCTGTTCCAGTACCAAACCACCCTCTGAATGAAGAACCTTTTCCTAATATCTAACTTAAACCTCAGCTTCATTCCATTTCCTAGAGTCCTGTCACTGGTCACAAGAGTAAAGAGATCAGTGTCTGGCCCTCTGCTTCCGCTTGTGAGGAAGTTGTAGACTGCAATGGGATCTCCCCTGTCTCCTCTTCTCCAGGCTGAACAAACCAACTGACCTCAGCTGCTACTCATAAGGTTTCCCCTCAAGGCCCTTTACCATCCTTTTGGCCCTCCTTTGGATGCTCTCTAATAGCTTTATGCCTTTTTTATATTGTAGGGCTCAAAACTGCACACAGGACTCAAGGTGAAGCTGCACCAGTGCAGAGCAGAGCAAGACAATCACCTCCTTTGACGGGCTGGCAATGCTGTGCTTAACTGTCATCACAACATGCAGCTGACAGCACCCAGGCTGGACAGTACAGGTCCTCAGCCAGACTGAATGCAGAGTCACTGCAATTTATGAAATAAAGAGCAAGGAGAAATCTGTTTTCCAGACTGTGGCACAATCTGGCCACTGAGATTCCTCCCCCCTGCACTCCTGAGCCAGGGGCAGCTCCCTGGGGACAACTGGCTATTTGAGGAAACTGTTTTCTCTGGCACATCTTTTCCTTCTACATCTTTGATCTGGTAGCTTAATATGCCTTGAAAGAGCCTCTGTACCAGTGTAACATATGGCACAGGTCAGAGTGAAGGAGCTGGCCCAGTATCCAGTATGCTCTAAAAATGTATCCTGGATCCAGGGACTGCACTGCTAAAGCCCACATTATACCTGCATCAGTGTAAACTAAATCTAAAGCTGATCAAACAAAAGTGCCAGAGGTCACCTGGAAGAACATATACTCGCACATTAAGATGAGCTGAGAACTAGGTGGAAAGGGGAAAAAGTGACTTCTACAAACAAGATCTTGCTCAGGGGTCAAGAAGCTCAGAAGCACATTGAGAACTCCCAAGAGACAAGTGCTTGGAGAGGAATGAAACACCACTCCCAGCAGGGCTATAACCACAGACATAAGAAAGGAACAAAGAGAGATGTCATCCCTCTCTGCAGAGCAGGGGTGCAGTAACAGATCATCCTGCCCAATTCTTGATGGCCCTCAGCCCCAGGCATTATCACTTCCTGGTGATTGGAGGGATTCTCTTGTTCCACTCCTCTTCCTCATGTAAGCACAGCTTTTTCATTCCAAGTCCCAGATACTTTCACATATTTTTCTGGTTAGTTCTAGAGGCAAGAAGTTGTACTTCGATCATGTAAAAAAAACCCCAGGGCATGGAATTCTCTTTAATATTTCAGTCTTCTTCCTGAGGCCGTTACCCTGGCAGACATGTCTACCTATAGCTCTAGCATATTTCTACCACATTCACCTAGTAGGGAAGAAATAACTTTGAAGTTCAAGATCTGAGTTTAACCTTTAAATTGCAGTCTTTCAATACCACATCTTGCTGGATGGGGTGAGTATGGCTGGTGCCTTGCCAATTCATAATTCCTTTCTAGATATTCCCTTGCAGTGTTTGTTATTTCTAAGGCACATGAACCAACTCACCTCTGTATTCCTTCACTTTCTAACACAGTGCTTTAGCTAGGATTCTTATTAGATTTTTTTTTGTTCAGAACTGACTAATAACACAGCCTTTTTTCCCTCAATGCCAGGCAGTCTTTCAATGTCTCCTTACATGAGCTTGGAAGTGTCATGTCTCCAGCAAAACCTAGTTTTCTGCTGTCCTACAGATGAACCACACAATTCTTGCATTGTATCAGCTATGCTTTTTCACATAATGAAGCCAACAGCAGAACAGCAAGGGGAAAGAGAATGTGCAGTCTTACATACGACCCTGGGATCTGCATGACACCAGCTGCTTAAGCTTACATTCACCGTAGCTATGCCTTCTGTTCCAATACTATTCATCA